CACGGCTATTGTTATGCTGATTCACCTGGAACCGTGGTCCAGTGGAAAAAACGTGGGCTTTCATATAATGGCTCTAAGTCAAGTCCGGTTGAGCGAAGTTAGTACCTGGATGGGTGACCAGATACTTATGCCTAATGAAAATTCTTTAGCTAGATTTTTTTCCCCCGTAACTTTCAAGCGATCCAAATCCGTTTTTTATCTTTAGGTTGAGAAATTGTCGAAAAATAAAGAATGCCGGCTATTTAATACATGTGCGTTAGTCCATAATCATGAACATGCAATTTTTCCTATAAGTGCCACTTAAAGAAACTCGCGATTTAGGAGTATCCCTTCACCTGATTTAAGAGTAACCCAATCACCTGAATTAGGAGTATCCCTTCACTTGATTTAGGAGTTTCCCTTAACCTGATTTAAGAGTATCCATTCACCTGATTTAAGAGTATCCCTTCACCTGATTTAGGAGTATCCATTCACCTGATTTAAGAGTATCCATTCACCTGATTTAAGAGTATCCATTCACCTGATTTAAGAGTATCCATTCACCTGATTTAGGAGTATCCCTTCACCTGATTTAAGAGCATCCCTTCACCTGATTTAAGAGTATCCATTCACCTGATTTAAGAGTATCCATTCACCTGATTTAAGAGTATCCCTTCACCTGATTTAGGACTAGTTTCCCTTCACTTGATTTTGGAGTATCACTTACCTGATTCATCAGGATTGCTGAAAAGTATTTGTCTGGTGCACGAACTGGAAGACAATTTATTTCACTATTTTTTTCGGTGCTCTTCTGTTATTGAAGTTTACCAATACTCCTTCGATCGTTTTTGCAGTACCGTTCAGTGACCACGAATATCAGTTCCACACTGCGCACTAAACTATATGGCTTTGCTATCGATGCGAAAACTTAACCTCAAYTTGGCACTATTGTTCGTGGTGACTGAAAAACGGAACTGTCAAAAAGCCCGGGGGGGACTCCGGGAAAAAAGTATCGGGGATGCTCGTCGGAAATTTTCAAAAAGACTCCTAAGAGATAACGGAAGTCTTTAAAAAAWGGCGTGGCTGAATGATTTTTAACCTCTAAGAGATACCACAACAAATAATATTCAATTTTATATAAAAAGCGCCTACGATAAGCCATATCGATGCGCGCTTCTCTCCTTTTCCAATACCCTAAAAGATACCAGAAAATGCTGATCTTCAAAAATTCCCTAAAAGACCCTAAAAGATACCAAATCACAAATTTTTACCCCTAAGAGATACGACGAGCATCCCCGGTACTTTTTTCCCGGATCCGGACCGACTATAGGACGGTAAATAACTTATTAATTTTTTTCCCGTATTTTTTTTTAACTTGTTTTTGTAATCGTTTTGTGTTGTCGTTTAGCGGCAAAGGATACCGGACCGCGCGCGCGGACAGATACTGACAAAATACCGCCCGCTCAAACAGCCAATCAGAACGCACGATTTTTTAGGATACCGGACCGGAAAAAAATAAGAATTAATAGTGCAAAGTTTTGTAGGTTTACAGTCTACTAGAGTCTACTGGACTTCAATTTCTTACAATGTTTTTCATGGTTAATGTGGTATGCACACTATTGAATAGTGGTGAATTGTATTTTCAAAGACGGATTTGGGATATTTTATTGTGCTTGTATATTGAACCTCTGGGCATACGTTTTTACTGATACGGCGGTCATCTTGAATTATGGGACTCCGAGAGGGGCAAACACGTAGAAAATGCCCACCAAACCAGTTTCCCGCCATTTTAATCTAGCTAACCATTCTCTTTCTGACTTCATTGTTTTCGGTCTTTCTTTGCTTAACGGCAACAATGATTGTCGCAAGACCAAAGAAATGCGGCTTATTCACCTATTGGGCACTCTTAGTCCCAACGGGATTAATGAACGCTTTATTTTCAACTAACCTTTTCTTTTGTCTTTTGATTGTTTGTTTTTGTTTCCTTGCCTACCTTGCTCTCATTGGTTTCTTTTGTCTTATTCTATCATATATACACTCCTTTCTACCACTTCTTTCTCTTTTACTCCGACGAAGGACTAGCGTCCGAAACGTCAGTAAGTTTTTTCATCTTTTCACGGTGTATAATTTACCTTTTCATCATTACTGTTACGTAGAAAATGTATAAAGCAAAGAGTGGCGGATGCAGGATTTTTCAAAACGGGGTCCAGATTTTCCACTTCAGTCTTTGCTTCTTCTGACAAGACCTAGACTGCGCATGCGTGCATTTCGACACAGGTAGTCCATGCAGTTGGTCGGGGAATGGCGATGGCAAATTACCAGTACGACGCCAAAAACAAGCTATATAACAACAGGACACAACCCAAAACTTCTGTAATCTTTTTGATTAAAATCTACAGGATATATTTTTTCGATATCCAAAAATTCAAACCTTACAAACAAAAAACACGGTGAAAAAAAAAAAAAGAAAAAAAGCGGGTGCAGAGGACCCCTTCGCACGACTGCCTAGGTCCGCCACTGGTGACGGGGTTACATTTTCAAAAAAATTGAAATCCTTGTGTTTCATATATTGTTCCAAAAAAATAATAAATAATAATAATCATTGATAATTATTAATCTAATATCAAACTATTTCCTAAGGTTCATAAATAGAGCCGAGTATGTGTTGGGTGCATTATGAAGAAGGATACCTGAGTCCCCCACGAATATAGTTATATATTGGGAGTTTCGTTTTCAAATAATTTGAAGTCTTAGCGTGTCACATATTGATCTAAAAATAATAATAAATGATATTTATTAATTTAATATTAAACTATTTCATAAGGTTCATAGAATGAGTGGGGTAGGGTTAGGGTGCATTATTATGAACGATACCTGAGCAACTCACATATATAGGTCCCCGTCGTCATGGTCTATCAAACAGCTTGCGGTCAATAATCAAAGTATCTCGTGTTTTGAAAAATTATACACAAAGGAACGACAACAAAGCAAATAATTGCTGTCATTACAACTTAATAGCCATGTCTTGAACCAAATTAACCATCACCGGGTCCTTAAAAACCTGGGCCGTGAAATCCAGGGCTATTTTTTTACGGTTTTCTTAGGAAAGTTCAGAGTTTTTGTAACCTTTGGCGTCGTCCATCGTTCGAATTCCAAACGTTTGAAAATTTCCAGTAAAGTTCCACGATGATCGCTCAGAGTTTTATTTGATGGCAACGATCAAAGTTTATGGAAGAATAACTCCATGTTCAAATATATCCAGCCTCGTTGAGATCGAGGGAGATCGTCTTATCACATCAAAGCTTGGACGACGAAACAGCCAGAAAAATGCTGTAGAAATTGGTTTTAAGTTCAGTGAAATCTTCGATCAGGATGCCTCTCAGAATGAAGTGTTTGATAGGATCGCCAAAGATGTGGTTGGAAAGTTTTTAGAAGGTTATAATGGGACGATATTCGCTTATGGACAAACGGGGACTGGAAAAACTTACACTATCGAAGGGGAAGATCTCAACTTGGACACGTAAGCTCATGTTTTAACTTTTTTGGCAACGAAATTTAGCTATTGTCATAAATGAACCAACTAGTCTTTGAAATATTAAAGTAGGTATTAAATTGAGCATAAAAATTATCCAAAAAGTACTTCTAAGCTGTTGTTTTGTTAACTTTGTTGATAATATCATCAATCTTAACTTATTTCTATTGTCTAAATAAAAAGACTGATATCATAATGATATTATATGTTGGAGCTCGATTTTCCTTTGCAAAAAACCCACATTATTTGCCATACTCAACCTGCTTATATATTAAATAACTTTACCTTGACTGTAGTGTTTTCTTATTTCACGAGAGGGGCACAAGATGGTGCAAAGCCTCTTTATGGTGAATATTTACCTTGCAGCTCAAAGATGCCTTCACAAATATTTATTTAATATTTTTCTTTGGTGACAGATCTTCCAGGCATGGCCTTATCCCGCAAACTCTAGCCATGATTTTTAATGAGATAGAGAAGATGGATGATGAATGTGTTACTGTGCAGATATCTTTCATTGAGATGTATAACGAGATGGCATACGATCTTCTTGGCCCATTAATGTATGGTAGTAACAACAGGAAAGATTTACCCAGAGTAAGTACACATTTGGATATATATATGTCATTTAATTTACCAGCCAGGAGGTCCGGATAGGGAAAAACTGTGCCCGAGGTCTTGAATATTAGGCCGAGGGCACAGTTTTTCCCCATCCGGACCGACTATAGGATGGTAAATAACTTATTTATTTTTTTCCCRTATTTTTTTACTTGTTTTTGTAATCGTTTTGTTTTGTTGTTTAGCGGCAAAGGATACCGGACCGCGAGCGCGGGCAGATACTTACAAAATACCGCCCACTCAAACAGTCAATCAGAACGCACGATGTTGTAGGATACCGGACCGGAAAAAAATAATGCATGTACTCTGTAGTTCAGGGTTAGCCTCAATTTTATAGAATATTCATGTGTTCATGTGAAGGTCAATGGAATTTCAAAGTGTTCCTATTGTTGAAGTTGTGCAGTTTTTAATTTACCGTTGGTATTTGTGAATATTTAGACACTGATTCAAGGCTAACCCTGAGTAAATGAGTCTATAATCAAGAGACACTGGTTATTTGGAACTCCTAAATGGTCTGTTGTGACATTTTTGGTGAGGATGCCATAATAAGCAATAAAAGGAATTGATAGCCAGCCTCAACCAATCCCATTGTGTAATGCGGTTGTTATCCACAACGATGTAGATATTAGAGACCTTTAGGTATGACGACAAGTATGAGATCGAGTATGAGTGCAAGCTTTTAAATTGGTCCTGTACATGTGGTTAACACTAAATCGTAGTCAATTTCCGATCTTTTACAATCTAAAGTTTCAATCTACATACATGATCAAGACTACATAAAGATAGTGCCTCTCATTAAAAGTTAAAAACTCGTACTCACACTTGTTCTTGTTCTCATTCTCATACTCTTTGTTGGATCTAAAGATCTCTATTATATCATGCTAGGAAGAAGTTAGACAATCTTTCTCCCTTTAGGTTCTTGTGACCAATGGCACAAGTGGATCATGTATAATGCATGGTCTTTCTGTACATGACGTATGCTCCGAACATGAGGCTCGTCGGCTTCATCTGAAGGGAAGGTGCAACAGAACGATGGCTTGGACAATAAGTAATGAAAGGTCCTCACGATCCCATGCTGTTTTTATGGTTCTTCTTACCAGACAAAAGCAAGGCTCAGAAATTGTGGTCAAGTAAGTTACAATGTATATATCAATACCCTGAAACAACCTCTGGGCTGATCTAAGTCAGGGCATGGCTAACTCACAGAT